TGGTTAGAAGACAAAGGTCAAGTACTAAATATTCTGATGAGAAGAACATTGCACAAAGCATTTAAGGTATGATTGTATGATGTTGCAGACTTTTTCTAGTTGTGAAATAAATGGGACATAACTTTCAAAAAATCTATTCCTCTTTTTTATAGGGATCAATATTTGTTGTGTTCGATAGCATTGAATCTGCTAAGAAGTTTGTAGAGACCCCTGGCCAGAAGTACAAAGACACAGACCTGCTAATACTTTTCAAGTAAGTCTTTGCTGATGTTTCGTCTTGCCACTTAGTTACAGGAAATTGGCACATTAGGGTAAGGAGGATGGAATAGCATCCCCTATAAGGGCAGTGAAGGAGCCCTGGTGGCACAGTGGTTAAATGCTTGGCTGCTAACCAAAAGGTCGTCTGCTTGACCCCACCAGCTGCTGCACAGGAGAAAAGACCTGGCAATCTGCTCCCGTAAAGATTACAGCCTAGGAAACCCTGTGGAGCAGTTCTACTCTGTTCTATAGGGTCACGATGAGTCAGACTGGACTCCATGGCACGCAACACCACCACAACGTTTAAGGGCAGTGTTCTTAGCATCCTTTCTGAGTCCCTGGGTGATGCAAACGGTTAAGTGCTCAACTATCAACAGAAACGTTGGTGGTTCGAACCTACCCAGAGTTGCCTTGGAAGAATCCTGGCGATCTGCTTCTGAAAGGTCACAGCCTTGAAAACCCCATGGAGTGCAGTTCTATTTTGCATACATGGGATCGCCAGAGTCGGACTCAATGCAACTGGTTTTGTTTTGTTTTTTTCAAATTCTACTTCAGATGAAGGTTTATAGAACAAATAGTTTTCTCATTAAACAGTCAGTACACATGTTGTTTTGTGACATTGGTTAACAACCCCATGACATCAACACTCTCCTTCTCAACCTTGGGTTTCCTATTATGAGCTCTCCTGTCCCCTCCTCCCTTCTAGTCCTTGTCCCTGGGCTGGTGTGCCCCTGTAGTCTCGTTTTGTTTTATGCGCCTGTCTGATCTTTGGCTAAAGGTTAAACCTCGGGAGTGACTTCATTACTGAGCTAAAAGGGTGTCCAGGGGCCGTAGTCTCAGGGTTTCTCCAGTCTCTGTCAGGCCAGTAAGTCTGGTATTTTTTTGTGAGTTACAGTTTTGTTCTACATTTGTCTCCAGCTCTGTCTAGCACCCTCTATTGTGATCGCTGTTAGAGCAGTCGGTGGTAGCTGGGCATCATCTAGTTGTACTGGGTGTTTTCTTTTTTTTTTTAAGGCATCCTTTGAGAAGTGCTTAAAACTTGTTCAGTGGGAACTATACTAGTCCTTTGAGAATATAAAAAAACAAAAGCCAAACCTGTTGCCGTTGAGTCGATTCTGACTCATAGTGACCCTATAGGACAGAGTAGAACTGTTTCCAAGGAGCACCTGGTGGATTCGAATTGCCAACCTTTTGGTTAGCAGCTGTAGCACTTAACCACTACACCACCAGGATTTCCATTTGAGAGTATAAGAAGTGTTTATTAGCACTTTTTCATTCCTAGCGATTAACAAATGTGATTAAGAAGTTTTAGTACTTATTTTGCATCTAAAACTAATAATCAGGCTGGATTGTAAAATCTGGGCTTTTGGTATGATTAGGGAATAAATCACTGTACAGTTTTCATCTGTTCTTGTTTCTCATTCTATATATGTCTACATTTATTTATTTTTGGTGAGAATATACAAAGCGAAACATACACCAGTGTAACAGTTTCTACGTGTACAATTCAGTGACATTGATTACATTCTCCAGGTTGCGCAACCATTTTCAACATTCTTTTCCAAATTATTCCACCACCATTAACATAAAGTCACTTCTCAGCTAATCTTCGGAGTTGCTGTTGTGAATTTGATCACATATACATAATTCTTTAAAAGAGCACAATACACAAGGCAGACATTCTTTACTAACTAAGCGCTAAACTATTGTTTGGTTTAAAGATGACTTCAGTGGATCATTTTGGTTTAAAGATTATCTCAGGGCAATAGTTTTGGGGGGCGTATGCCTGAATTTTTATACTTTACAAAGGATTAAAGAGAGATGTGGATTGTGTTCTTTAACATACGTACATATGCATACACATGTACACACACAGGTATACATATAAAAATGACACACCATAGCATTTTTATGATGAAGTTATTGTACACAATCTAAATGCTTAGTACTAAACTTGACTGACTTAAGAGATAACACTGATGAATTATGTTATCAGTGTTAAATCCTCAAAATTATTTTTAAGCCTGTGATTTTCATAATTGGGATTTTAGAATTTTCTCCTTTGGTGAAATTAATAATATAGAAAACTCTGTGAAACATTTACATGACTTCTGATTTGCTCCCCCCCACCCCTTACATGAATGATAAATGAAAACCAACATGAGACTGCAGGGTTGGGTACAGGGTTTCTTTTTGGGGTGTTAAAGATGTTCTGAAATTAGAAAATGGTGATGGTTGTACAACTCCATATATAAAAACCACCAAGTTGTACATTTTAAAAGGATGAATTTTATGGTATGCAAAACTGTATCTTAATAAACCTGTTATTAAAAAAACAAAGAGTAGCTTCCTTGGCATATTTTGAATTTGCCAACTGGTTAATTATGTTGCTAGAAAATATGTTTAATATTCCTTGCTATGCGTATCTTAAATCATTTAAAATAATTTGCAGTCTTTGTTCTCGTGAATTTTGCCTCCATATTTTGTGTCCTTTAGGGAAGATTACTTTGCAAAAAAGAATGAAGAAAGAAAGCAAAATAAACTGGAAGCTAAATTACGAGCTAAACAGTAAGTACTATCAGCATGTCGAACTAGTCATAACATATTTGAATTCCTTAAAGCTTTGACCGTGGTAGAGTTAGTAGTTCTGGGCAGAGCTGATGATGAGCCCTGAAACTGGTAAGAACCCTTTCTTTTGGTAGTGAAACATTAGGGTCTTTAGCTGCCTTGATAATCTGGGGGACACATTGGATTGCAGTCTAGCATTGGACAATCAGAAAACCTGAGGACTGGCTTTGGTTATTAAGTAGTTTAGTGATTGTGATCAAGGTTAACTTTACTAGGATTTAATTTCTTTATATAGTAAATGAAACAGGCTCTAGTTACAACTTTTTATTTGTAGAGAACAAGAAGAAAAACAGAAGTTAGCAGAAGATGCTGAAATGGTAAGTATAATTATTACTGGTATCTAAGAAATCTATAACTTGAAATTATAAAAATATGCACAAACCTACAGTTGTCATTGCACTAAAGTAATATGCAAACAACACTATAACACTATCTGAAATCATTACTTATCAAGAGAGTTAGTGTAATAACCAGATTTAGGTCGCTTGTAACTGTCACTTGCAGTAGAAATAAGTGAAAATCAGAAGCCATTGTAGAAGAAAGTATAACAAAAGAAAATGCTGTAACTGTTAAACTACTTTAAAATAGCATTTTCATCTCTAGCTTTTTCCTTTTATAGGTATAGAATGTTAAGCCATTTCTGGTTGTGGTCACTTATAATAAACTTTTTGATTGCCTTGTATATTTTGTAGAAATCTCTAGAAGAAAAGATGGGCTGCTTGCTGAAATTTTCAGGTGACTTAGATGATCAGACCTGTAGAGAAGATTTGCACAACCTTTTTTCAAATCATGGAGAAATAAAATGGATAGACTTTGTCAGAGGAGCAAAAGAGGTTTGGAAACACTCATACTTTTTAGCAGTCAGTTCAAAAATCCATAGAAACTGGTCTTTTTAGAAGATAGAAAGCTTTTTAAAAAATTAATGTGTTTATGAAAAGTTTTTACTTGATCATTTACTCCCCATTTTTTTGTTGCTGTTATTAGATGTTAAATCTATTTGTTTCTGAATTATACTATGAATACTGATTTATACTCTGAATAATTGTTGGTATTGGTGACTGTAGTAGCATTCCTTTTCTTAATGTTCAGTAAAAGCCATTGAAACTGATAATGGCATAGGAGATTTGCAGGGTAGGAAAAATGAATTTGAGTGAATAAATTAACTGCAGAACTAAAAACAAAGAATTGTGCCTGTCATTTTCTGTCTTTGGTGTAGGGAGTAATCCTATTTAAAGAAAAAGCTAAAGAAGCACTGGATAAAGCCAAAGATGCAAGTAATGGTAACCTACAATTAAGGAACAAAGAAGTGACGTGGGAAGTATTAGAAGGAGAGGTGGAAAAAGCAGCATTGAAAAAAATCATGGAAGATCAACAAGAATCCCTAAACAAATGGAAGTCAAAAGGTCATTAGTTCTGATTTTTCTCAGTTGGATTATTTTAATGCTTTTCCTTAAGTGAAAAGTTTAAGCCGTCTTCAATAAAAACATTGACCAGAGATTTTTAAAGTTTCTTTACTAAACTCTCAATTATGTCTCTACAGGTCGCAAATTTAAAGGAAAAGGAAAGGGAAATAAAGTTACCCAGGCTGGGTCCGCTAAAGGAAAAGTACAATTTCAGGGCAAAAAAACTAAATTTGATAGTGATAATGAATGTGATGAAAATGGTGCAGCTGGTAAGTTTTTTCTGTATCTTTTTGTAGTTTCATGAGAAGTTTGTACTTTTCATGAGAAATGATTTGTGGGAGAGAACAGCGATACGGTTTTTCAACTTTGTAAAGTGATGGTCTTGGATTATTAGGATTTACCCCAGTTGTGCTTGTTCGACAAATGAAAGACAAGGAGACTTGGAAGATAAGTTTAGGAATTAGAAGATGTGTACTAAAGGAAAGGCCTTTTTTCATTGGTGTGGGGAAGCTGCTAATCTTTTTAGACATAATTATTATTAATAATTGTACTCAATATTAAAATTGAGTAATGCTTACATTGAATTTAACAAATTAATTCTGTTATTGTATAGGATCAGTGAAAAGAGCAAGAGAAGAAACAGACAGAGAAGAACCTGCATCAAAACAACAGAAAACAGAAAATGGTTCGGGAGACCAGTAATTTAGTAAACAGTTTTAAAATTCATTTTAATTAGGTTTTAATCCACTCTTGTCTTTGAGAGTTTTAAAAAGAAAACCGAATTAGGTCCACTTCAATGTCCACCTGTAAGAAAGGAAAATTTTTTTTCTTTAACTTGTCTTTTTTTGTTGTTATGTTATCCAATGAGGATTCTTTTTTAATGTATAGCTTCTGTTTATCACATGATTCAAATATCGAAAGGAAGGTTCTTCCACTAAATTACCTTTTTATTATGAAAATGTATTAGTATAAACAAATAAAATATATGCTATATAAAAAGAGCAAAAACTTAGTCTTTTTTGTTTTGTTTTTGTGTCCAAAGCATTCAAGAAAGGACTTATCTTAAGCCAGATTGTTAGCTGTTTGATTATGAGCCCATTTTATAGTTAATTATCCTATTTCCTAGGCTGGCTTTATTTACCCAGAAAACCTGAAACAGAAGAAATGGTTACTTATTGAAAAGCTTTTCATATTGAATGTAGTTAGGCCAGAATCGAGAGACTCACTGATTTCTTTTTATGAAATTTGTATGATGCTGGCAGGTCGTATCTCAGCTCTGCAAAACAACAGACACCCAAGGGTAAAAATTAGATTTCCAAACATATAACAACCTGACTTAAAAACTAAGAAGGTAGTAAAGGCTAAACATTTTAGACCTGCCATTTATAACTCATCCAATATTAGCCATGGCAAACTGAGCTTAGTATTTCTACAATTTTGGCCATTTATACTGAAATTAGAAATTATGGGGAGTTTAGAAGTATAACAAATGGACATAAAAGTACAGCCTATGAAAATGACAGCACCTTTCTATTTTTATTTTCCTGATCATCTATTCCAACTTAATGTCATAATAACCATGCTTGCTTCAAAATGTTTTCATTCTGATTTTAGTAGTGTTAGAAAGTAGCTAATTATTTACCTACTAACCTCTCAAATGAGAATCCATTTTTCATGTTCTAAAGAATAATGTAGGTTCTCGAAACTCTTAAAACTAATCAATTTTAGAGGGATGGCAATGAGTCCACCTACCCTTTACTTTTTGCAACATAAATTCTAACCTTCTAGCTCACAGCTTTAATATGCAATCAGATCACTTGGGGATCCTGTTGGAATACAAACTATAATTCAGTAGGTCTGGGTGGAGCCTGAAATTATTCATTTCTAACATGCTCCCAAGGGATATGAATGCTGATGGTCTGAGGACTGCACCTAGAGTAGCAAGGCTGTGGCTGAATATACTATTAGGACTGTTCTAAGTGCTTCATATCACGTATTGTAATACCTTAAGCAATACTGAATATAATAATCAGCAGGCCTGTTACATTACTATTATGAACAGTAATATATCTAGTTACATTTAACATAGTGTCAATTTATGGTCAGTTTACTGTCATGTAAAAACATTTCTCCCTATTCTCTTATTTCAGGCTTTTCAAAATTATTTGGTTTATAGTTAGCATCTAGTTATGTTTTTCCCAGTTTGATGTTTGTGAATACTATCCAATTTACTAATAAAAATGTATCAAACATGATTCAATGATAGTGTGATTGTTCATATTTCCACAAAAAGAAAGAAAAACGCTTTCTGAAGTCTTACTGCTCAACAACTCGGGGCAATTAGAAAACTGAAATAGAAAGATTATCCGGGCAATTCTTACACTTGTGTGACAGTGGCATTTTCCATAAATGGATTTCAAACTGAGGTCTCACCAACTGAAAGCCCATGTTCTTAGTCACTGTGGCTATACAGTGTTCTGTCTGAGCCTACAGTGACCAAATACTTGGGCACTAGTAGAAATTTCTGGCAAATTGCATAAATTGGGACAGTCTCAAGGAAACCTCGATACACATTTCACCCTACCTTTGCTACATTTTCAACCTGTTACCATCCATGCACATTTTGCCACACTGAAAAAAAGATGTATTTGTACTACCTTTTTTCAGCACCTGTGTAAAAATTTTGGTTGAGCCAGTGCATGTTGGCCCTTTTATAGATGATTAGGGTTGGGATTTGTTTTGTGAGAAAAGTAAATTCATTGTCTTACCTGCAATAATTTCCATCTTGATTTTCCATTCTGCAGCTTTCTTTTGAATATGCTTAACATAAAGAACATGTTAATATGAGCTGATTTTTAAAATAATCTTTTAAAATTGCTTTTAACTAATTGATATTAAGTTTTTGAACTTTTAAATTTTAATTACAATTAAAAAAACTTGTTGCTGTCAAGTTGATGACAACCCCATGTGTTAGAGTATCATTAAGCTTACAGCAGATCTCTCTAGAGCATTAAATAGGGATTACCAGTATTAGAAATTCATTCCTCATCATACCTCCACAGCATGCACAGTCGACACCAGATTAACTTCTTTAACTGAAACACTTCTGCACTATCTAAATGAAAAATGCACTTAATGACATATTCATTTAAAATTCAACCATGAAGCCAGCCAAGGCAATGGTGATAATGCTGCCTCCTAGTGGTGGAACATGGCAACACCAAACAGTGAAGATGAACGTTTCTAGTAATGAGACTCAGAAATTCAAATAACTTAAGATTTTGCTGCTTAATTGTACCATGCTTTACTGGCATATTTTACTTGGGCTGCATGAACTGTATATAGGTTAGATAAAATTTATGTTATGACAAGCTCTACAGGGCTGACTGCTTATCCTCTAAAAGGCCTACTTAAAAGGTTGGCCCTTGGATGGCATCTGGGAATTTAGATTTTGGTAGGGTTCCTACCCCCTTAACTGCTAAGAGTGGTTCACTACGCCTGAGCTGTTTATGCAAGCAACATGATCTATGCTGAACACCTGCTCTCCTTCTGGGAGCCTGGAATTAGGGTATGTGCCAAGCACAGGGTGCCTACATGACCAGTCCGCAGTAAAAACCCTGTGCACTGAATCTCTAATGAGTTTCTTGGTTGGCAGCATTTCACATGTGTTGTCACAACTTGTTGGGGGAATTAAGCATATCTTGTGTGACTCCACTGGGAGAGGATTCTGGAAACTTATGCCTGGTTTCCCCTTGACTTTGCCCTGTGCACCTTGGTAAATACCAGTATTTACTGGTGTTTGCTTTCACGTACTGAATGGGGACTTACAAGTAAGGTTAGGCTGTGTTCTATTGCCTATCTACGTGTATCACTATTCATTGTTAGTATATTCCTTTTTAGCTATATAAGTTTATACTTCGTTAAGGGTTATTAGATTACAATATATCCAGAACTAGTTGTCAGCTGGATTCCAGTACACTATATTTACATGAATAAAATATTTTTCCTATAAATCACTTTAAAACTTTATATATGATTTAAAGTAATAGCAATCACATACAGCAGACAGTTCTAAGTGCTTTGTAAATATTAACTCACAACAGCCCTATGAAGTGCGTAAGTTACTCTTAGCTCCATTTTATATGTGAGAAACTAAAGCTCAAGTAACTTTACCAAGATAACACAGCTGGGAAGCAGCAGAGCTTGGATGTGAACCGAGGCAGTCTGGCTCCAAAGTTCTTAATCACTGTTATACTCATGCTGAAAAAAATATATCCTTCTTCCCACCAATTTGTGTTACATGCTGGCAAGAATAAATGGAAGAAGCTGTATCTAAAATCAGGTCTGTTTAGCTCCAGGATCAGCATTCTTAAAAACCAGGACTTACTGCCTCCTTTAAGTACACAAGGCCATACAAGGACAGTGAGACCACAGGCATCAACCAGGCCTTACCCAGACAAACCAGAACATATTGTAACCCTTGTTATACTACACTTCCCTACTCCTGAATTTTAGCCCCTTTCCTGCCAACAGTTCCTGTCTGAACGGAATTTTGACCAAAAAAGTTAGCTATATAGGCTGGAAGTAAAGCTAATTACAGAGTCTAGCTAGTTGAAGGGAAAATTCAGTATCTAAGTGCCAGATGTTAAAAAGGTCAGGAGAAATGGATACCATGGTATTTAGAATTCACAGTAAGTCCTTAAAACAATGTCAGGAATTTAAATGACTACATCATGATGATTTGAACTTACTTCTCTAGTTGAGGATTTGTGTAAAGAATATACTGCTGTTCTTGCCATTTCCAAAGCAGTCTTCAGAAAAGTCATATCTGTCCCTGTGAAGAACAGAAAAAGCTCCTATTTACATTATGTACTTGTTATCAAAATGGAAGATGAATAACAGATTTAGAAACTTTTTTTTTTCCAAACTCCAAAACAGCCACTTCTAATTCTTTCTGTAACAGGACAGGATTCAAATAAATATCAAAATATTCTTTTAAGGTTGATAGAATAAAACTAGAATTTATAGTGTCTTGGTTAAACAAGGTTAAAGTAAAAGTTTTAATATTATATACCAAATTAATAACTCAAAGAGGGGAGAAAGGAACAGGAAGTGCACTAACTGGAATCATCTAGGGGGACTTTTTACATTATGCATGTCTTTTTCTCCTCTTAATGACTCCCTATCCTTCTGGCCCACAGCACACACAAAATAGGCACAATGAGTCACTGTTACTGATGGGCACATGTTGAAACCCTTGGATGTGTTAAGCCATTAAAAAAAGGTTCTAAAAGTATAAAATCCTTTATAGGTTACATAATCAATCATAAGGGTAGAGCAAATCATTCTTGAAAGCAGACAGTATAAATAATAATGAATAAAAAGACTTTATTTACTTAATACAAATTTGTGAATAACAGATTGAGAAATCTAATTCTCTAGTCATGCATTGAACAAATTGAAATTGTAATCACAATACAAGTAAGAGACTGGCTTATTTAATGAATAGTGATAAATCACTTAACCCAAAAAACCTTGCTTTTCTAGAAATACACCAATGTACCTGATTCTTGTTACTAACCTTTATTATTCTTGGTCCCAAAGGGAGGATTCATAATTACTGTATCAAATGACTTGGACATTCTATTAGATAATGAGCACACATCACATTGAACCATGTCAACATTTGTTAACTCAAACTCTTCCACATTCCTATTAAATATCTCCAATGCATCTTCATCTATGTCAAATCCAACACACAACCTATATAAATACAAAACACAAAGCATAACTACTTATACCTCCCAAGTTAAAAAAAAAAAAAGCAAAAACAAATTAGCTGGGTTACCATATACCTTGTTAATCCAATTAAACTAAGAGTTAATGAGTGTTGCTCTTCAACAGCAAGATTTCCCAACCTAGCAATGGGTTGGGAATTCAGATTTTGTATAAAAGGGAGGCATCACCTTTTTTTTTGTAGTTTGTTTTGATCTTCTGCCCACTGAAAATGTATTCAGTATCAGATTCTTGATCTCCCAACTTCATACTGTAGAGCCCATAAATGTAATTCAATTGATCCTACATATGCTTCTTATTAAAGCCACCCCATAACCAAATAGTATATACTGGATCACCTACCCTGCTCCTAACATTGCAGTTCCGATGCTAAGCACTCCACAACCACATCCTAGATCTGCAACCACTTTATTTTCAATGTCATCATATGTGTTATGGATTGTATAGAGCATACATGCTAAAAGATCAAAAAACATATTAGGGAATAAGTAAGCAAAATGATGACCAAAATCCAATTTATGCAAATGACTCTTCCTAAAATAATTTCTTTAGTTTTGTATTATTTTGCCCTCCCCCAAATGGTGTTCCAGGTTACTTAAAAATTGCGGTGTAATAACTTGGTACGTAGTAAGATGCACCACAAAGAGGGTAACACGTAGCAGTGGTTTCCAAAAAACTAACTAGTCTCTACTAATGATGCCAAGAATGATAATACTTTGACCAGTCTATGAGATAAAATGAGAAAAATAATGTCAGAGTGTTTCTATTTTTCCTCAGCCTGTTTAAAACATTGCTACAACACATGTATATTGTTGTCTAAATATTATTTTTACATGATATATATAAAAGGGTGATAAGAGTAAATAGGTTTTAAAAAATATCCTTCCCTGTCAAAATATAAATTTGGCAACCCTACATCAGCCTTTAAAATTGTTTTGAAATTTTACTGACGTGTGAAGTCCACAAGTCTGGGAATCACTGGTATCAAACAAGCATTAACATTAAAAGGGCACAGATCTTTTTTTGCAACAAGTTTGTCATTAGGACACAGGTATCATGAGCTCAAGCTAGAACAGGAAAGGAAAACACCTACATCTGCAATGTAGCCTTTAGACACATACAGATACGATTTACAAATAAAGTTGAGGTTGACTTGGAAAGAGAACTATTATATTAAGGAGCAGGGCAGAAGCTGCTGAGATGGGAAAGGAATCTTCCAAATACACAAGGGTCTTGCATATAGTGAAGGCTAAGCATGAGTACTACCATCTGTCAATTTGTGGTACTGTGCTGGCTTGCATGTTGCTATGATGCTGGAAGCTATCCCACCAGTATTTGAAATACCAACAGGGTCACCCATAATGGACAGGTTTTAGCAGAGCTTCCAAACTAAGACAGACTAGGAAGAAAGGCCTGTTAATTTACTTCTGAAAATTAGTCAATGAAAACCCTATGTATAACAACAGAGTGTTTTCTGATTTAGTGCTAGAACATGAGCCTCATAGGTTAGAAGGCCCAAAAATATACAGTGGCTGCAACAATAGACTCAAGCACACCGACTGTGAAGATGAGTCAGAGGTGACTTGATGGCATCTAACAACAAGAAGCATAAGTAACACCACTGATATCTCCCTGTGGATATATGAACCCAGCAAGGATTATGGGCCATCACTGATGCCCCAGAATCCAGAGGTTTTATCAAAAACATAGGGTTATCTTAGGCTGACTCTGCTAGCCTGTTGCTGCAGGTGTTAGTCTTTGAAGCTCCTATCTCAAAGAATGAACACATTCATATGCATGTTACATACTGGGTGTGAAACAACAGATTGTTATCTGAAGAAATTGGATGTCACTAAGAAAACTTACAGCCAGAAGACATTAAAGTCATTATCTAAAGTGAGAAAACTGGCCTCCACCCAAACACAGTAGTTCTGTGCCAATTTTTGTTTGGAATTACAACAAAATTAAGTGCTAATATGCCTTTGCTCAAGAGACATTTGAAAGCATGGCTACACTGAAACTCTGGATTGTATCCTGTTACCATCTTGTCCAATCAACTCTTCCACCTGCCCCTGTAAATCATCTACAAAATTGGTGATATTTATACTGTCCCCAAGGGTCACAACAGGACTAGTGGTCTATAGTCACACAAGGTAGCCAGCTTTGCTTCAGTCAAAGTTAGTAGTCTGAAGTAAAGTCTACTGAGATGTACCGTAAAAAGTTATGTAAAGTTTTGCTTGTTCACAAACTGGGCATCAATGTTAAGAAGGTACCTGTCGGCTAACAGACACATGCGGAAATGCTCATGATCATTAGCCGTTAGAGAAAAGCAAATCAAAACTACCATGAGTTACCATCTCACCCCAGCAAGGCTAGCATTAATCCAAAAAACACAAAATAATAAATGTTGGAGAGGTTGTGGAGAGACCGGAACACTTATTCACTGTTGGCGGGAATGTAAAATGTTACAACCACTTTGGAAATCGATTTGGCACTTCCTTAAAAAGCTAGAAATAGAAGTACCATACGATCCACCAATCCCGCTCCTTGGAATATATCCTAGAGAAATAAGAGCCTTCACACAAATAGATATATGCACACCCATGTTCATTGCAGCACTGTTCACGATAGCAAAAAGATGGGAACAACCTAGATGCCCATCAATGGACGAATGGATAAACAAATTATGGTATATTCACACAACGGAATACTATGCAACTATAAAGAACAACCATGAATCCGTGAAACATAACACGGAGGAATCTGGAAGGCATTATGCTGAGTGAATTTAGTCAGTCACAAAAGGACAAATATTGTATAAGACCACTATTATAAGAACTCAAGAAAAGGTTTAAATATAGAAGAAAACATTCTTTGATGGTTACAAGGGTGGGGAGGGAGGCAGAGGGTTATTAACTAACTAGACAGCAGACAAGAATTATGTTAGGTGAAGGGAAGGACAGCACACACTACAGGGGAAGTCAGCACAAGTGGACTAAATCAAAGCTAAGAAGTTTCCTGAATACAACCAAACACTTCAAGGGACAGAGTAGCAGAGGTGGGGGGCCTGGGGACCATGGTTTCAGGGGACATCTAGGTCAACTGATGCAACAAAGCTTATTAAGAAAGTGTTCTGCATCCTACTTTGCTGAGTGGTGTCTGGGGTCTAAAAGCTAGTGAGCGGCCATCTAAGATGCATCAATGGGTCCCAACCCACCTGGAGTAAAGGACAATAAAGAACACCAAAGACACAAAGAAAGTATTAGCCCAAGAGACAGAAAGGGCCACATAAACCTGAGACTCCATCAGCCTGAGACCAGAAGAACTAGATGGTACCCAGCTACCATCAATGACCACCCTGACAGGGAACACAACAGAGAGTCCCTGATGGAGCAGGAGAAAAGTGGGGTGCAGAACTCAAATTCTAGTAAAAAGACCAGACATAATGGTCTGATTGAAACTGGAGGAATCCCAGAAAGCATGGCCCCCGGACTCTTGTCAACCCAGAACTAAAACCATTCCCGAGGCCGACTCTTCAGACAAAGATTAGACTGGACTACAGGACATAAAATGATACTGGTGAAGAGTGTGCTTCTTAGCTAAAGTAGATACATGAGATTAAATGGGCATCTCCTGTCCGGAGGTGAAATGAGAAGGCAGAGAGGGTCAGGAACTGTTTGAATGGAAATGGGAAATCAGGCGTGGAAAGGAGGAGTGTGCTGTTACAGTATAGGGAGAGCAATTAGGGTAACATAACAATGTTTGTATAAATTTTTGTATGAGACACTAACTTGAACTGTAAACTTTCACTTAAAGTACAACAATAAAATAAAAAAATAAAAAAAATAAGGTGCCTGTTAAAGATGTTTGCCATGGCAACTTGGCTGGTGATAGTAAGAACAGTCCACCAATGGAAGCTGTCAGCTTCACTGTCTGGTCATCATCCAGAACCATCCAGGCCAAATCAATACTGGCTATGCACTGTGCTGGATTTTCGTGGTGCTTGCATTGTCTGCAAGTTCACTGAGCTGAAGGAAACTGACCATCATTCAGGTAAGAAGTTGGAAGATGGCCCCAAATTCTCTAAATTAAGTCACGATGCCATGATTTCTTTACATGGTTCCCAGCAAGCCCACATGTGTGGAGAGCTTGACAAAAAGGTATACATTTTTCATTGCCTAAATCCAATACTAAAATGTATTCCTACTTATATGTATTTCTACAACACAACATCTGCCCAGAAAATTCAGAAGAGTAAAGGATACTCTGTCCAATACCTGCCATGCCAGTCTTAAATCAGTGGTGAAAAAATAATATTCAGAATTATTTGTCAGAATCGGCCACTTTATTTAGTAGTAAAACACTGGTTAGTAACAGTGCATTATAAAAGCTTCAGAAGGAAAGGAATATTTTATGGACCATTTATTTCATGGAAGTTTGAAGTTTTTAGATATTAAAATAAGTACCTTTTAAAAATGGAATAACTTGAGAAAAATATGACCAGAATTTTAAGACTTTTAATGTGGGACAAGAAAATAAGGCACAGAAAGCTGCAGCAAAAAACACTGTACCAGTTGCTGAAAAAATTCAGTAGAATGGTTAGAAGAAAAAAGTAATTTTTCAAATTTCACAGAAAGGGTCCAGGAAACACCAGAGAAAGGATAGCTACAGACGATAAATCCAGGAAGTTCAACATGTAATTAACAGGAATTCCCAAAAAGAGAGGTCAGAGAAAATAAAAGACATTATCAAACAAATTACGGATAAGCATCTCTTAGAGCTGAAGGGAGACATAAGCCTTCGAATTTAAAGGGGCCACTTCCTTCTGTACCAAGCACGTAAATATAAAAAGATTCACACCTAAACACACCATTGTGAAATATCAGCACACCCAGAACACAGCAATCCTTAAAGCTACCAGAGACAAAATAAGTCACTTTCAAGGAAAGGTTATATTTATAAGAAGCAAAGTATATTATTTAAAGTTACAAAGGCAATTCACAGGCAATAAAAGTAGTAAAGCAATTATACTGGGAAGGGGTGAGAGGTGATTAATAGAGGAATAAAAGCAGCAGTGCAAACTATTTTGGGAGGAGGGGGAGGAAAGTGGGATGATATAAATCAACTAAATTCTCACCCATCATTGTAGACAGTCAGTGGAAAATGTTTACAATTGACCAAGGAGCAGAAGTATAAACATATTTAGAAATGTAGAATCAATCACTAGAACAACGAAATTGAAACAATTTAGAGGAGTTGCATCTGAGAAATGCAGCTAGAGGTGGGAGGGAGGGTAAGAGACTGGGTGCTTTATTATAAATCCCTCTGTACTCTTTGGTGTTTTAAAAACTATATGCATATATTATTTTGACTCAAAAAAATTTTTTTTAAAATTATGAACATACACCCAATGTGTTACTCCTTATCTAATGCCTTCTTTGGATCTCTCCTTTAAACAATTAAGTCCAATTTTGATAACTAAACAAACAAAAAAACTTATACTTTACAAAGCAATTCTGAGTGCATTTTGAGTTGGTTATATGTTTAAGCAATTTCATTATATACATCACAGAGCCATAAAATAGTGTAAGATTTTGCTAACTAAAAATGATAAAATTTTATAAGATTCGTAAGAACCATTTCCCATAACAATGTTTCTAGAGATGAAATGGGCTTGCTTTTTGCCTTACAATTTGTTTTTAGATTTTAAAGTAAAGTAATACATGTTTGCAGAAAATTTAAACAATATAAAAACATTAAAGAATACACATACAAGCATTTATGCACACACTATGTTCTTGTTGCCCACTGCCGTTGAGTCGATTCCAACTCAATTTTGAGCCTATAGGACAGAGTAGAACTGCCCCACAGAGTTTCTAAGGCTGTAATCTTTACAGAAGCAGACTGCCACATCTCTCTCTCCCAGAGAGGCTGGTGGGTTCAAACCTTTTGATTAGCAGCCAAGCACTTCATGACTGTGCCAGCAGGGCTCCTTCACACGCTTTGTACATATACAGTACCCGTACCAAAACCAAACCCACTGCTGTCGAAAAGTGAAGAAATATACCACATGTTCACTGAAATTATAAGTCTGAAAATTTAAATTTATCTAAGCATCTATTTTGACTTCATTAAATGATACATATTGTTTGCCAGTGTGGCTTCAGGATCCTCCCCTGGGCATATGCATATGTTTTAAGTTCCACCTTTTCAGGTATGTATGTATTCTCCTTGACTTTCACTGGCAGCTAAGAAACAGCACAATGTTGGGGCTGGAAGGGTTTCCTCACTGCAAGTTCCCAGTAGATTAATTTTCCTCAGGTTCCTCAACCACTTTGGTAATACATTTATCAAATACGAATAGTTTTTCTTGTGGTCTCTCCTGTACTCCCTTATTAATCCCTCACATCAAGCAACAATGCTGATTCCCAGATAATTAAAATTGAAATGCAACCTCATCTTTAAACAGCACCCACTCTGGCTTTGTTAAACACGATCCCTCTGGTTACCAAGTCTAGCATTAATTTCTAGGGCAGAGTACAGCATAGGAACCCCTGCAACGGCAATTGTTTGCATTAGGAAATTGATCCTTATATAGCAAATACTTTACCGAGTCCCTAACTAGTGCCAGGGACTCTTCTAAAAAAAGTAGTTGCTGTCAAGTCAATTCTGACTCATGACGACCCTATGTGTATCAGAGCAGACTTGTGCTCACAGGCTTTTCAATGGCTGATTTTTCAGAAGTCAATCACCAGGCCTTTCTTCCCAGGCGCCTCTGGGTGGACTCAAACTGCCAAACTTTTGGTTAGTCATTTGCACCACCCAGGGACTCCAGGAACTCTTCTAAACCCCTTGTGGTCAGAGTAGATTCTGACTCATAGCATACTTATAGGACAGAACAGAGCTGCCCCATAGGGTTTCCAAGGAGACGCTGGTGGATTCGAACTGCTGACCTTTTGGTTAGCAGCCAAACACTTAACCACTGCGCCACCAGGGCCCTAGGAACTCTCTGAGGCACTGGAAATTCAGGTGTGAACAAAACCAACAAACTCCTTTCCTCAAGGAGTTTACAGTCTAACAAGAAACGAACACACTATGAAGATGTCTGACAGTTTTAAAGGGTATACAGAAAACCATACGGTAAATACATAACTGTGTGTATGTCTTTAGCTGAGAGGTCACGGAAGGCTTCTCCAACGTAATAGGTGATCTTGGGGGCAGGATTTCTCTAGTCATTCTTTGTATCCAAATAACTGCTCTATTTTCGTCATCATCTAGTGAGCAGAAAGGATTAACACAGGAAGCAAGAGCTTGCATCACCAGCCACCCTACCTGCAATGTGCGGCCTGGTCGGATACTGTTCTAGAAGTAGCTTGGGCTTTTCAAATCCATCCACTTGTTGCAGGCGACTCTCTAGTTCCTTAAACCTTAATTTCTTCATCTGTTTTTTAAAAAGTGTGGGCTGGCAGGGTTTAACAGCACTGGATCTGCGAAGAAATCTCTCTAATCAGGATCTTGTTTCCCCCCCACTGCCTGCCCCTTTTTCAGCGCCGCGGCCTGGGGGTCGGTGTAGTCGGGGGTAGCCGTCCGCGGGAACAGACCGTGCACCTGGCCGGGCCGTTCTCACCCTGTTCCCTCCCTGGCCCAGAGGCAGGCCGAGTCTCCGACCCCCCGTCCTTGGCCAGCCCCGGACCCGCCTCCCAGGTATGACGCGCCACCCTCAGGTCCCTCGGAGACCAGCGGCGGCTCCAGCCTACAGCTGATGCAAGCTCCCCGCCTTGTCCCACTACTCGAGAAGGTGCGGGAGTCTCTGCTGGGGCCGGAAGCTCTGCTGCGCACGCGCTTAGGACTCCACTACCCAGCGGCCCCGCGCGGAGCTGCAACCTCTGCCCGCCGCCGGGGTTCCGCTAGCTGCTTAAACTCCTTATCCTTCCCACGACTTCTCAAGTCTGCCCCTAGGGCAGAGCTCGCCCTGCTCGCCACCTCAGGGTAGGCCCTCGCAACCCTTAGCTTTTCCTTGAGTACCTGCAGGCTGTCAAAGAATGGGGCAAAGAAAGAAGGTGAAAGTGATGAGGGAGAGAGAGCGAAAGTGAAGGTGAAAGCCACAGTCACTTTGTTTTCTGGCCCATTGTTACCCTTTTTGCCTCCTGTTTCCCAAGTCTCTCAAAAGTAGCGATCTCCACTCTCCTTTGCCTCCGTTGCTATTTTTTTGTTTCCCTTTTTTTAGGTCACCTGTGTCACTTACCTCAACTCTCACAGGAGTAGTGATGTCAGAGAAGCCCAAAGAAGACAGGTTAAATGAAGAAATAGGTAGTGGTGTCAAACACTGGAAAGAAGTCAGATGTTCACAGAGCAAGAGTAGAAGCAAGTAGTAATGGATTGTGGAATGCAGTAAAAGTAGCAAGAATAGCGAAAAGGGGCAAGAGAATGGTGAAGACTTAGCTAGAGTAAGGTTGGCAGGAGGGGGAGCTTTTTTGTTTTTCCTTAGATGGAGCATTTCTAAATTCTGGACAGACAGAGGTAATAGAAAGGGGAGGGGTTTAAGATACAAGAAAGGAGATATCAGATGGAATTAGGATCCTGAGGAGGCAGGATCCAGTGCACAGATCAAAGGATTGGCCTTAGCTTGGGGGATGCACACCTCTTTCATTGTTAGAAGAAAAAAGGAGAGATGGATGAACATAAAGTAGAGGGAGGGTGTCTGAGGCGGCTGCTTTTCTGAGAAAGAGTTCAAAGTTATCTGTTGTGAGGATTAAATGAGTTAATACATATGAAGTTCTTAGCACCAAGTTTTGTCACATAGCAAATGCCCAATAAGTAATAGTAGTTAATCTTTTGAAAGTGCGGTGGTGGAATAATGAGTTTGAGCCAAATGGATGCTTGACTCTAGCAGGCTACATGAAAGGACAATTGGCTCATCTGAGGTTGAAGGCATCCCCCCCCATCTAATTTTAATTTAAATTAAACTTTATTTTGAAATAATTGCAGATTCATATTCAGTCTTAAAAAGCAATGCAGACAGTTCCCATTTCCCCTTTACACAGTTCCCCCAATGGCAACATCTTGCAAAATCACAACCAGGATATTGACATTGATAAAGTCAAGACACAGAATAGTTCCTTCACCACAAAGATCCCTCATGTTGCCCTTTTATAGTCACGTCCATTTCACTTCAGTCCCCACCCTCTCCTTGTTGTTGTTAGGTGCCCTCTAGTCGGTTCCAACTCATAGCAACTATGTACAACAGAATGAACCACTGCCTGGTCCTGTGCCAACTTCACAATGATTGCTATGCTTGAGCCCGTTGTTGCGGTCACTGTGTCAATCTATATTCTGGAGGATCTTTCTCTCTTTCCCTGACCCTCTAATTTACCAAGCATGATGTTCTTCTCCAGGGATTGGTCCCTCCTGATAACAAGTCCAAAGTATGTGAGACAAAGTCTTACCATCCTTGCTTCTAAGGAGCATTCTGGCTGTACTTCTTCCAAGACAGATATATTTGTTCTTCTAGCAGTCCATGGTATGTTCAATATTCTTTGCGAACACCATAATTCAAAGGCATCAATTCTTCAGTCTTCCTTATTCATTGTCCAGCTTTCAAATGCATATAAGGCAATTGAAAATACCATGGCTTGGGTCAGGCGCACCTTATTCCTCAAAGTGACATCTTCGCTTTTTAACACTAGAGAGGTCTTTTGCAGCAGATTTGCCCAATACAAGACGTTGTTTGATTTCTTCACTGCTGCCTCCATGGGCGTTGATTGTGGATCCAAGTAAAATGAAATACTTGACAATGTCAATCTTTTATCCATTTATCATGATGTTGCTTATTGGTCCAGTTGTGAGGATTTTTGTTTTCTTTATGTTGAGATGTAATCCATACTGAGGGCTGTAGTCTTTGATCTTCATCAGTAAGTGCTTCAAGTTCCTCTTCACTTTCAGCAAGCAAGGTTGTGTCATCTGCATATTGCAGGTTGTTGATGAGTCTTCCTCCAGTCCTAATGCGACATTCTTCTTCATATATGCCGTGTTCTTCCTCTTCAAATCCAGCTTCTTGGATTATTTGCTCAGGATAAAGATTGAATAAGTATGGTGAAAGGAGACAACAGTGACACACATCTTTCCTGATACTAAACCATGCAGTATCCTCTTGTTCTGTTCGAACGACTGCCTTTTGGTCTATGTACAGGTTCCTCATGAGCACAAATAAGTGTTCTGGAATTCCCATTCTTCCCAATGTTATCCGTAATTTGTTGTGATCCACACAGTCAAATGCCTTTGCATAGTCCATAAAACACAGATAAACATCTTTCTGGTATTCTCTCCTTTCAGCCAAGATCCATCTGACATCAGCAATGATATACTTCATTCCACATCCTCTTCTGAATCTGGCTTGAATTTCTGGCAGCTTCCTGTGGATGTACTACTGCAACCGGTTTTGAATGATCTTCAGCAAAATTTTACTTGTGTGTGATATTAATGGTATTGTTTGATAATGTCCGCATTCTGTTGGATCACTTTTCTTTGGAATGGGCACAAATATCGATCTCTCCCAGTTGGTTGGCCAGGTAGCTGTCTTCCATATTTCTTGGCATAGACAAGTGAGCACCTCTAGCACTGCATTCGTTTGTTGAAACATCTCAATTGGTATTCCATCAATTCCTGGAGCCTTGTTTTTCGCCAGCTCCTTCAGTGCTGCTTGGACTTCTTCCTTCAACACCATCAGTTCTTGATTATATGCTGCCTCCTGAAATGCCCTCTTCTTAGCCCCAGGCAACCACTTATCTGCTCTCCATTTCTAGAATTTTGTCATTTCAAGAATGTTATATAATGGAATCATACAGTATGGAAACTTTTGGAATTGGTTTTTTTCACTCAGCATAATTCCTCCAATACCATCCGTTCTTATCATATACTACCTCCTGAAATGGTTGAACATCGACCAGTCCTTTTTGGTACAGTGACTCTGTGTATTCCTTCCATCTTCTTTTGATGTTTCCTTTCCTATGTCATTCAATATTTTGCCCATAGAATCCTTCAAAATTGCACCTAAAGGCTTGAATTTTGTCTTTACTTCTTTCAACTTGAGAAATGCCAAGTGTGTTCTTTCCTTTTGGTTTTCTAACTCCAGGTCTTTGCACATTTCTTTATAATACTTTACTTTGTCTTCTTGAGCTGCCCTTTGAAATCTTCTGTTCAGTTCTTTTACTTCATCATGTCTTCCATTCGCTTTGTCTACTCTATGTTGAAGAACAAGTTTCAGAGTCTCTTCTGACATCCATTTTGGTCTTTTCTTTCTTTCCTGTCTTTTTAATGACCTTTGTTTTTTTCATGTATGGTGTCCTTGATGTCATTCCACAACTCGTCTGGTCTTCGGTCGTTATGGTTCGGTGCATTAAATCTATTCTTGAGATAGTCTCTAAATTCAGGTGGGATATACTTTGGGACCTGTGGACTTGTTTTAATTTTCTTCAGCTTTAACTCGAACTTTCATATGAGCAATTGGTGGTCTGTTCCTCAGTCAGCCCCTGGCCTTGGTCTGTCTAATGATATTGAGCTTCTCCATCGTCTCTTTACACAAGATGCAGTCAATTTGATTCCTGTGTTATTCCATCTGGCAAGGTCCATGTGTATAGTTGCTGTTTATGTTTTTGAAAAAGGTATTTGCAATGAGTTAGTCTTTGGTCTTGCAAAATTCTATCATGAAATCACTAGCATTGTTTCTATCACCAAGGCCATATTTTCCAACTACAGATCATTCTTCTTTGTTTCCAGAGTTCATATTCCAATCACTAGTAATTATCAATGCATCTTGATTGCATGTTTGATCAATTTCAGACTGCAGAAGTTGGTAAAAAATCTTCAGTTTCTCCATCTTTGGCCTTAGTGGTTGGTGCATAAATTTGGATAATAGTCATATTAACTGGTCTTCCTTGTAGGCATATGACTATTATCCTATCACTGACAGTGTTGTCCTTCAGGATAGATCTTGAAATGTTCTTTTTGAAGATGAGCATGACACCATTTCTCTTCAATTTGTTATTCCCGGCACAGCAGACCATATGATTGATTCAAAATGGCCAGTACCAGTCTGTTTCAGTTCACTAATGCCTAGGATATCAATTTTTATGTGTTACATTTCATTTTTGATGAATTCCAATTTTCCTAGATTCATACTTCGTACATTCCATATTCCGATTATTGATGGATGTTTGCAGCTGTTTCTTCTCATTTTGAGTCATGCCACATCAGCAAATGAAGGTCCCAAAAGCTTTACTCCATCCACATTAAGGTCAACTCTACGTTGAGGAGCCAGCTCTTCTGCAATTGTATTTTGAGTGCCTTCCAACCTAAGGGGCTCATTTTCCGGCACTATATTGGCAATTTTCTGCTGCTATTCATGTTTTCATTGGCCAGTTTTTTCAGAAGTAGACTGCCAAGTCCTTCTTCCTAGCCTGTCTTAGTTTGGAAGCTCCACTGAAGCCTGTCCACCATGGGTGATCCTGCTGGTATTTGAAATAACTGGTGGCATAGCTTTCAAGGTCACAGCAACATGCAAGTCACCACAGTATGACAAACTGACAGACGAGTTGTGGACATACAATGTAATACTACTCAACTATAAAGAATAATGAGGAGTCCATGAAATATAACATGGAGGACTCTGGAGGATATTATGCTGAGCGGAATAGGTCAATCAGAAAAGGACAAATATTGTATGGTCCCACTGTTAGAAAAAGTCAA